CCCAAAGGAGCTAAGGACCACCACAAACTTGAACACCTTCCACTCCCGTGCCAAGGCACAGTGCTTTGACCTTGTCTTCTCAAACAAACAGACAACAAATATTAGGAAAAAAAAATATCACTCTAACCCCACCAAAATGAAGCAGTCTGTTGTATACTTATCTCCCTCTGGGGGAAGTATGTGAAAAAAAAAAAATAGTTATGTGCAATCACACTGCTTAATGTCCTACTGGAAGCAATTCTGATACTGTGATGAGTATTGGTTTAAAAGCATGCATAAAATAGGAAGTGACACTTTTAGAGAATGTTTTGCCACTACCCAGCTTTTGTTAAGGCACTGGCTAACTTCCTGTGCTCTTCTGGAAGTGTTGGTCAGATACAGTATTTTTGGAATAAAACAGGTATTGAAACTATGACATCACTGCTCAATTGTTCACAATTCTGATATTAAGTCTGAAAACAAGGAATATACTCGTCTTCCACTTAATCTTAAAGTCTACTAAAGATAGGATGCTTATGAAAAAAATTAACCTCTTCAGAGAGTAACTGATAATTATTTTAGCATAGCTTGAATGCTAAAATAGGCTGCGCCCAACACTGGTCCCAAGCAGCAGGAGCAGCCTCCTGTCATCAGGCATTATCAGGGGCCTGCCTGCACACCTGGAAGGGCTGTGGGGCTCTGCTGGACTCCTTCCAGGGGTGCAGGCCCCAATATGGCTGCTGGATCACAGGAGACTTGCTGCCGCCTGGGACCAGAACTGGGTGCAGCCCACACCCAGTGCCGGGAAGACTGGTGCTGCCACTGGTTCCAGGCCCATAACCCTGGGAGGAGTCCAGCAGAGCCCCCACAGCCCCCGATCTGCCTGCCAGGCAGCACACACAAAACATCCAGGAGCAATATGACGCAGGACTGGAGGAACACATAAGCACTCTAGTAGGCACTGCTATGATGAAGGTTCATCATCAGAACTGTACCTGTTAGCATGTCCCATGTGTAAGAATATATAAAAGTCAAAGAGGAACTTTGCTTTTTTTCCCCCAGTGATTTTAGATATGAAAACGCGTGTAGTTTGGCATTACCATCAGGGAGTTTAATTTACTGATGTGCAGCTAAACTGTAGATATTTCATTAGAAGTCACTTACATTTGTCATGGTACATCTAGGGCCTCTGTTTCTGAGGAAAGCCATCGGAAACTCACAGTCCAAAGTAGTCAGATGATGAAACTTTTCCCATAAACATTAATGATTTAAAAATCCAAGCTTTTACTTAAAAATACGAAGGCTAAAAACATTTTCAGAATACTATCTTCACAAATATTGTCTGCTCCCCTTTAAGAAATATTTACAGACACCCAACCTCACAGAGAGAGGGAAAGGGAGAGAGAATTTCTGAGTAGCAAAAATAAGAAGCCTCTAAATGCCTGATATTTTGGGAAGATCAAGAGAATAGTAACCTCTAAATGATTTATTTATTGTTGTGACTTTGGCCATGGTAATAATAGCATCAATGAAGACTTACACAGATATTTAATACTTCCTTTGCGACTAATGTGATGCACTGTACCCATTAATGGGAATCACAGGATTAAATAAATGTGTTATTCCATTAATATTTTAATCACAAAAATGCAGTGGCAGAAGTCATGTATTCATTTAGAGAAAATAATTCACACAAGAAAGAACCTTACAATAAAGCAAACTTTCTACAGGATTCTAAAATAATCAAATGGGCATGCTCCAAAGAGAATGTGCCATACTGCTGAAGAGAAAAATTTGCAGTTGGGGAGTTTTACTTTGAGGATTCTACAGAATTACCCTATAACCCATATTGTGGTTTTACCTCCAGGTTAGTCAGTGTCATCTCTCTGAAGACATAAGCAGGATTTCCTTCTTCTGAATGGCAGGCAATCTGGAAATTCCCATATGATGAGCTTCCTGTAGGCTCTGGCCAGTACTGATGGCACTTAACCTGAGGTCAACAGATTTTCAAAGATGCCATTGTTAGATGCATAGAATATTATTTTTAACCATCTCTGTATTTAGTAAAAAAAAAAAAAATCACTTTGAAAATTTTATTAAGTTATTGGTAACTAAATACACCAACTATAACAACCACATTGCCTGTAGCATCTTTTTACCCGATTACTGTACAAAAAGTAAAGTACTCGATATAAACTCCTGCTTCTCTTTTCAATGATGTTTCCTTCATAAAGGCAGTAAAACTCAAGTTCAGTTTCCTATAAAATTGTGAGCAACTCCTGATACTACTCTTTTGGTAAGTATCAAGCTAATAGTCCATCTTGATACCAGTGAAAGGTGTCGTCTTGCATCCATTTCTGACTAATAATCCTAAAACAATCCTCGTTTAAAGCATATTTACACAAAAAAGTGAAAAGAGGAAGAAGGCTGTAAGCAGTGACAAAGCACCAATAGGGAGAAAACTAAGGAGTGTAGGTGGTGGACTTTGGTGGGTTTACCAAAAATCTTTAAGGTTAAATGAAAACTTAAAAAAATATGCATCTTTATGACCAACTGCTCAAAAGACTCAATATCAATGGAGGTCATTTCAGCTCAAGTGTACTTTTTTTTATCTTTCCAACCCACCTGGCAGATTCTCTAAGAGCAGCCAGATTTGCAGACTTCCTGCTCCACTGAGACACCCCGGCATGCAGTGGGATAGTGACGTCAGTAGCCCCACGATCAGCTTTAGAGCAGGGAGTCTGCCTATGGGTATAAGATAAATAAGTCTTTTTATTTCCATGTTTAGCAGCTCTCAAAGAATTCTATAAATATCAGTGTTAAAAAAACACCTTAGAGAACTGCTTTACGGAGTCTGTTGTTAGCAGATCTTCAAAGAGCACTGAAGTAAGTTAAAAGTGTGCTTGCACTGAAATTCCCTCTCATTGTGCTTATTTGGAAACATAGAATCACCAACTAAAACAAAAGAATTGATAAATAGTTTTAAAACATTTCAACACCCCTATCATTATTAATTATAGCTGGTGGGTCAGACAACCACAGCAAATACATAGTTATATTAAAAGTTAGACTGCATATACACACAGCTGTATTAAGTCTGAATTAATTAGTCTATCCAAAGCACAGACCCATTCTTCTGGGCAGGATGATAGATATTGTTTGTAAAACCCACCAAAGAAAACTCTGAATAATGTTGAAATTTTAGTGAAATGTTGTTAAATTATTTAACAAATGCATCTATTTGGCGATTATCCTTATATATTCAAAAGTTCCAGATAATAACAACCCTCTTCCTTTTTCAAATGGTTTTATTGTTTTACATAATTGCATTGTTTTATTTCAACTGCACTTTACTTGGTCTGTAGTTACTGAAGTTGAGAACTTGCTCCCTACATGTCCTTTCAAATCATCTGATAAAGCGAGCTGTGACTCACGAAAGCTTATGCAATCATGTTAGTTTATAAAGTGCCTCCTTTAGTGATTTCTGATAACTAGTCTCCACAGATCGACTGCCCTCTTTGTTTTAAGTATCCATTTGATTTCCATAACGGGGTTAAAACAAATAGAATTGTTCTCTCAGGTATTTAGTTTAAAGACCATCTCTGCTTCTTTCCAAGACTTTACTATGGGCACAATATGAACAAAACACTTGTATAAAACCTCACCCAATTATATAGCCAATCCAACAAACAAGATTACCCCCCCACCAGATCCTCATTTCACAACTATTACTTAATATTTTAATCAGTTTACCAAGAATACAATATGAAATACATCAGGCATGTGATAACATAACCGATTCCCTGGACAGAGGCAATGTACCAAACAAAATTATTCAGGAGACAAACTCAAAACAGCTACATCCCAAGCACATTTTATCTTTATGAAATCAGCTGAAGCAGATAAGGCAACATCTACATTATCACTTCTAATAATCGGATCTCCTTAATTATTTGCTTATTAATTTTTTACATAAACAGTTTAATATATTAAAGATGCAGATTAATATATTATAATATAGATTTTAGCTAAAAATAAAGCAGCAGAGATGACCTCCTCACCCAAGTGGGGACCTGGACCCACAATCCCTCGGTTTACGAGGCAAGTGCCACAATCCCTGGGTTATGAGGTATTTGGTCACTACAGCTGAAGTATGTTTTTGAAAACAAGGTTGAGAACTGTTAGGACTAATCAAAGAACTTAAAAATCTTCAGTAAAAAGAGATTACCTATAAAGTAGTTAATCTGCAAACCCGCAAATATCAACAGGCAATACTGAACAGCACAGAGGCATGGCTTAGAAGTAGTGGCAGATTTAAGACAGATGCACAGATCTGGTGCCCCTTCTCCAAGGTTTCCATTGTATTACAAGTAATCGCTGCAATATCATGATGACACCACACACAAACAAATGTCTGAGTAGAGAGCCTTAACTAGCAAATACAGCCATAAAAGTTATGTAATTATCCTAATGGCCATGTCTTTTAAGGTAAATTCCCCAAAGAATTTTTCAAAGACTATTAAGGTAAAGTTCAAGTCACAACTTGGACTTACTCTGCCTCGCTCAACTTGAGTAGTCAACATTACAACCATAGCTGAACCTTGCTCCCAAGTCATTTGCCAAAAATCAGGACAAGTGTTTGGTAATGGACCTTGACAAGCAATGTACTGATTTATTATGCTGGAAGAAGGGATCTCCATCTAAGAGAAAACAAAACCATATTTTAATTCTTCAACAGCATTACTCTCATAGCAATTTTATATAACCCAAATTTAGTATTGGAATTGAAACCTATACAAAGACAGAAAGCATGATTCAATAATATTAATCAATCTATCAAAATTGATCAATCTATCCATGAACAAACCAGACTGAAAAAGGCACACAAAAGAAACCTGCCACTCAGAGGAAAGGTCTTCTCATTTCCTGACAGAATTATTTAGTTGCACAATATCTACAGAATCAATATGACTGATCAAAATGATGAAGATGTGTAAAAGCGTTATAGCGAAGTGCCCAAATACCGTATTTCATAGTGTATAAGCCCAACTTTTCACTCTTAAAATTCAACCTTGACACCACATTAACATCCCCTACAAGTGGTACCGGGCTTGGCCTCGGCTGGCATGGCCCAGGCAGTACCCTTCACGGATGATGCATGCTGAGCCTGGCCCTGTCTGTTGCAAGCGGCACTGCCAAACACAGAGCCTGGCACTGCTCGCAGGGGATGGGGCTGGGCTCGGCCCTTGGCAACACCGCTTGCAGTGCACAGGGCCAGGCTTGGCATAGGGGATGGGGGCATGCCAGCTGAGCACAGAGCCTGGTCCCATCCCCTGTAAGCAGGCATTGGTGTTCAGCTGGCATGCCCCCCTCCTCTGTGAGCGGCACTACGTGGGCTGCACCAGCTGATCACTGAGCCTGGAGCCACTCACAAGAGACAGGGTCAGCCTCAGCTGGCACGGCCCCATCCCCTGCGAGCAATGCCGGGCTCAGTGCTCAGCTGGCGTGGCCCAGTCAGCACCACTCGCAGGGGATGGGGCCACAACAGCCAAGCCTAGACCTGTCCCCTGTGAGCAGTGCTGCGGCATGTGTCCACCCTCCCACATGCCTGGCCTGCAGCGAGGGCGTGCAGAGGTGGGTGTAAGCTGACCTCAGATTTCTGATCCAAAAAGTTAGGATCTGGTGCATACGTCAACCTAACTTTTTGGATCAGAAAAACGGGGTCAACTTACACACCGTGTTGACCTATACACCATCAAAGATGGTAGTTTAGCCAGCAGTATGCCCAAAATCAGATGTTTATATTTTTATAAATTAAATATAAATCTTGAAACAAATCTTTGTTTTGGGTCCCTGAAATGAAGTCACTAGCCATAGTTTCTTTGTTACTGGCTAAAAGCCAACAAAAACTTACTGCAACTTTTCCCACACTGAACTTTACCGATTTTGTAAAACTACCACCACAACGTTCATATGCAAACTGGAAATA